TGGTTGCAGTGGCCGAGTTTGCAGACGTGGAAACCCTGCAGACACCTCGCAGCCGCAACGCGCTGCGTGCACAGCCGCTCTGCAGGCACCAGCAGGGTGCGCAGGGCACAGGGTGGACACGTGCGAAAGCACCTGCCACTCTAAACGTGCACCTCTGAACACAGACTGCAAGGGAAGAACTACCCATCAGAGCCATTCTGCTGAGGACATGTGCGAGACTGGAAGCACCACAGAATGCACAAGCGATCTGAACGTCCACCAACATCGACAACTTGCAWGGTGAGTTTCAGACAACGTCCCGGATCTCTCCAGGGAATGCTACATATACCACATATCCCTATGAAACGCTCCCTATGGCAGTGCTAACGTATATCACAAATAGTGTGTGTGAGCATAGAAAAGTTTTAAAATCACAGCATTYTAGAGGAGGCGTAAGCCTAGTCTTACATCAGCCAGAAACACAAAGTTTGATTACTTTGTGGAAAAAGAGGGTATCACATCACTCATCACCTCAGCAAGGCCGTGTTACTATACACACCGGCAGCGTGTGGCTGCCTTGTGACACCCAAGGGCGAGGAAGCTCTCGGCGCCGGCGTCACCCTCGCGAGACCAACGCACGGGCTGCAGCAGCTCGAGAGCAAGAGCTGAACCTGCAGGCTGCGGGGCCGAGCYCTCCCGCGGGGCCCAGGTCAGCACCCTGCCCCAGGGAGAGGCCCGGAGTCACACGGATGCAGCCACGCGATCCAAGGCACTGCAGCTTTGGAAAAGCAGCCAGGTTAAATGCCTTTGGAGCGCTCTTTGCCAAGGGCTGTGGGGCTTGGTCAGCTATCACACCACGCAAAGGYTCTGCCCCTGCTCTACGTGGACGTCCTTCGCTGCCAGCCTGGGACACCTWCAGTCCAGGAGGGACCGAAAAGAGTGTCAGAAGAGCTACCACCCAGCACCAAATGAGCCTGGGAAAACCTCCTTGTTGGCCTCTCATCCTTAAAACCACTGAATTCCCACCAAAGGTATCAACCCTACCCCAGCTGGCTGCAGGAGGGGAAGACTCTCCTCAGGATCTAAGTGAAAAACTGAATGAATACCCTGAATTGCTACCCCTCCCCACCTGCCTCCATCCCCACTACAGCAACCAACGCACCCACCTCTCCCGTAAGAGCAGACTGTAAGAAACGAAAGAGAACATCTTCTGCCCCCAAAGACACTTGATCTGAGGGTGTGCTGTAGACAGAAGGGGAAGAAAAAGATTCCCTATAGCACCACTCGAGCAGGAGCAGGTCGTCTCCAGCAGCTGCTGAAGCACCCTCTGGACTCGTGGTCTTCAGCAAGGCCATGCAAGACCACGAGGACGCACGTGCTAAACACCAGCATGGCCTTTCTTAGCAGGAAAGGCCASGAACCTGCAAGAAGAGGTGAATATTAAGGTAAAGTGGAGAACACGCTGCAGCAGAAATGTTAACGCAAGCTCTGGCTTCRCACTGGAGACATTTCAAGGGACTCGCAAAGCTTTGATAATATTTAACATCTCTACTAATTTCCTCTTTGGTGTAATCGTAAATTTTCCACACTAGCCAAAAGATCTGGGATGAACTACAAGTTCTAGCTGGCTCCGACGCAGACAAGAAGAATGTCTGCTGTTACTATTTTCTCTTAAAACATACCTCTGCAAAACTGCCTTAAAATGAGAAAAGGGAAAAAAAGAAAAAGAAATTGTGAAACTGTCGTTACAAAGAAGCATTTAAAATGCAGATCAAAGTGCTGCCGTGGAAGCTGTACTCCTTGCCAAATCATCAAAGCTCTCTTTACTCTCAACAGCTCCCCAAATCCTCTGATTTGGATGATAAACCTCTACAGTTGAAATTTATCTGTTTAAAAGAAARAAAAAGAAACAAAAAGAAACAAAAAAACCCACACACCTCTCTCTCATTTCCAATTACTTCATTAATCAGTTCGTTTTAAGCTATTTTCTTACATTAGGAAATCAGAGCAACTTCCACCTATGTGCGTACGCCTGCAAACATGCCAAACCCCCATTTTTTAGCGCCAAAAGCTGTTTGGAGCGTGGAGCGCTCAGGCACCTGGGTCTGCTCCCGTAAGCGGCGGCTCCAGCTGCCTACTGGTGTCCTTCCCACAGTCACTGGGACACCAGGGGCTACCCCACGAGCACTCGTGGGCTCGGTGCCCCACGGGCAGCGCTGGATGCTGGTGACCGAGCCCACGTCCCAAACCCCAGCGAGGTCCCTYGGATTAAGGTCCCCAAACCCCGACGAGAGTTTTTACCTGAAACACGACCAAGCGACACGACTGCGCAGCGAGATTCTCGGCAAAGGAGCGTGGTTGTCACCACTATYAGTGACACTCTGCTTTTCGGGGCTCGCCTTGGAAAAATCTCCTCACCTCAACCCACTTATAACTCGGATAACACTTATAACAAATTCATCCTCAAGCTGGACTCATCTGTCCACCAACTGCGAGCCTGGAAAACCCACAGGGAAAGGGAGCAGCGGCGGGGAGGGAGGCAGAGGGGACAGGCGCTKCGCGGTGCCCTTGTGCCCGCAGCGCTCGGCGGCAGCTCCGTCAAGTCCCAACTTGTCCAGGTGATCCCGGTCCCTGCCTGGGAACTCCTGGCCTTGAGGAAAGAGGAACAGTTGCTACTTCATCTCACACTTTCCAGCGCCGCTCCGCGAGTACTCGGGCTCTAACAACGTAACATGAAGCAGGGCAAAGAGCAGKGTTGTTGGGGAGGGGATGGAGGGTACCCAGCACCTTCCCGGCCCAAAGTAACGGGATCACTGTGCCAAGCTTCCTCCTGCAGACACACTCCCGCGCCAACCCAATGGAAGAACCGGCTGTGCTGTGTCCCCACGCTGCGACATCCGTGACGGAGGGTGTCCCCGCTGCAGYGGGACAGCGGCGCAGAGCCACGGGAAAAAAAACTTGGCCTATTTTTCCTCCCGTTTCCTCCTTTGTGCCCCTTAACACTTGCATTCAACGCCAACTATAAAACACTAGGACCAACTCAGCACCTCAGGATGGGAAACCAAGCATGATTTCCAGAGCCAGAGCAGCACTACAGGACGCTGAGCCCGGCGGGAGCCACCGGGAACACGGTGGGAGCCATTGGGGACACRGGGGCAGAAGCCTCCCGGTCTCAGCTGCACTCGGGCTGGGACAGCACAGACTGCACATGTTGGGCACAAACGCACGTTCAGCTTACTAAAACACTCGTGGCGGCTTCCCGACGTATGYTTGCCCTGCTAGGAAAGCTTGGGAGAAGGAGAGGGAAAAAAGGAAAAAAGGGGGAGCAAATCAGCGCTATGCAGAACTGGGCACCTCCCTGAAGGGCAGGCGCCGGCCGCTGTCAGCGTCAGGAAAGGAGCGAACTGCCAAAGCGGCAGTTTGGAAGGGACGGAGACGGGCTGCGCGGCCGAGCCATCTGCGCTGGGTTTGTTATTAAACCGAGGAATGTGAAAACCTAGAAGTGGCGGCCTTGGGCGCAGAGCGGCTCTCACGGTCGGCCCCGCGCGGCGCAGACCCCGCGGCTCCCTCCGAGAGCCGGGGAAGGGGCGCACGGRGACCCCCAGCAGCCCCGCTGCGGCCCCTGGGCGCCCTGCAGGACGGCAGCTGGTGCCACGCTGCACATCTGGAGCGCACGGTCCCCATGAGGAGAYGGTGAATGGAAGTCAAGGAACTGGGAGGGAAAAGGAAGGAAAAAAGCAAGAGGAAAAAAATGTAAAGGGAATTTATCAGGCTCAACTCTGTTCATCCTGCGGAGCTCAGCCTGGGGGTCGCCAAACAGCTGGCCCTGCAATGCCGCTAGAGCCCTCGCATCCCACTGAGACACGGCCACGACTCTAGGAAGCCACCCACAAACGGGGCACGCGAGGGTGGCAGCGGGAAGGCACCCACAAACGGGGCACGCGAGGGTGGCAGCTAGGGCTCTGCTCCGGGTGGATCATCCCTTCCGCTGGGAAGGACCCCGTGGGCAGGACCCTGTGGGCAGCTCCCGACGGGAGCGGCGCCCGGCTGCAGCCGGATCCCACCGGGCACCTGCGGCCTCCGCCAGCCCCATCACGAACGGCCACGTCCCAACCGGGCACCTGCCCGCGGGCAACCCCTGCACACGGAGGATATGGGCAAAGGGAGGGGAAAAAACGGCTATTTCTTTAAAGAAAAAAAAAAAAAAAAAAAGAACAAGGAAAGAAATTAAGACCGAGTTGTTCCCACAAAACCTCGTGCCAGGAGTTGAGGAGCTTTTTTCGCCCTTCAAAAAGCATTACACATTTGCAACTTTTACCATAGTCATAAGCCCTGCTGAGGCACCAAGTCAAGTCTCTGCTGCTCCGAATGCTGCAGGACRCTGTTCCCGGCCGCCCCTCACAAACCGAGCTGCATCTTCATTATTCCCACCCCACTACCGGTACGTGCATCCAGCCCGGCCTGCTGGAGTCTGGGAAGAATAATGCACTATTCAGTACCGGTAGCGTTAATAAAAATCAGGCAAATCCAGCTTAGTTTTGTCTGAACACGAATGAGATTAAATCAAGATTAAATGTGCAGGCAGTACAAAGGGGCCGGGGTTTATGCTGGAACTGGGGATGAGCACATCGGAGCGGCCGGGATGCGCGTGGGCACCGCTGCTCCGGCACCGGGAGCGAGAGCGGCACCGGGCACGGATTTAAATATATATGGTAAATGTAAGATACATATTAACGTGCACCTAGGGAGGGTGGCGGGACCAGGTCTGTGCTGGGAGCGGATGGACGCGGGGGCTCCCTCCTGCCCCATCCCTGTGCGGGGCACCGGGCTCTTTCCCAAGTTTTTCCCTTTCCATTTTGCACGGACTTGCTGGGGCTTCCCGGCGCTGGGTGCCGTGCGGGAAGGGAAGGGAAGGGAAGGGAAGGGAAGGGAAGGGAAGGGAAGGGAAGGGAAGGGAAGGGAAGCCCGGGGAAGCCTCCCGCGCGCGGCGGGTGTCACGCACACGGACACGCGGTACTTACTGATCTCCATGCTCTGGAACAAAGACCTTTTGCAGTTGCATGTGCAGGACACATTGGGCTGAAGAGCTACGGCCGTGCTGTTCAGACCCATTAAGTTATACATTTAAAACAACAACAAAAAAAAAGAAAAAAAAATTTAAAAAAATAGTAAAAGGAGAGAAGAAAGAGGCGAGCGGGGAAGCGGCGGCACAAAAGGACGCGGCGGCCGCTCCCGGGGCAGCGCGGCGCTGCCGGCTCCTCCTCGGCGCGGGCGGCGGGAGGGAAATGCAGCTGCGACCGAGGGGAAAAAAAAAAAAAAAAAA